AAAAAAAGCTCATCATCACTGGTTATTAGGAAAACGCAAATCAAAACCAAAATGAGATACCATCTCACACCAGTTACAATGGTGATCATTAAAAAGTCAGGAAATAACAGGTGTTGGAGAGGATGTGAAGGAATAGAAATGCTTTTACACTGTTGGTGGGAATGTAAATTAGTTCAACCACTGTGAAAGACAGTGTGGTGACTCCTCAAGGATCTAGAACTAGAAATACCATTTGACCCAGCAATCCAATTACTAGGGATATACCCAAAGGATTATGTATTTTGCTTTTTCATGGCATCTTAAAAAAAATTTTTGATTATGACTAGAAGTTTGTTTTTTTTAATGACTCAGGCTCATTATGATCAATTATTATACTACGCTGCAGTCTAATGATGCCCAGAGGGACAATTATACCGTACAGAGCTGTTTGCTACTGTTCCTAAGTGGCCTTACAATGCTGTGCATTCAGTTCTGGTTTCTGACCATGATGCATTTTCTCTTTCTACCATTGCTTTTAGCTGTGACTTCTCAATACTGTTACACATTGATCACAATTGGTCAGTTCCACCACTGTTCCTAATTTTGTCCTTCTACCAAAAACACCTTGACTTCCTTTTAAAAATAGTGTGATACAACAATGAACAAAGATCCATAGCCATTATGGTACATGTTTTGGCTCATGAGAAAAATATCATTACTTGGTTTCATGGTTGTAGCTATGTTTCAGAGAATGAAGCTGGCTATTCTCAACCATAGATAATCACGACAATGACATTGTGATGATGATGACAATAACAATTATCACAACTATAAGTGAGACACTAGGAGCAGCGTGTAATAGAATCTTCACAATTATAGGAGGTATATAAACTATAGTCTTATTAATGTTTTATGGGGGCGTAATTAAACTTAAGCTTAGAAAGATTAATCTGGCTATGGTTACATGCTAGTAAGTGGTGAGCCAGTATTTGAGCTCAGGCCTATAACCATTCTCTATACTATCTGCAAGGTCAGTATCTATATTTATATTTTAAAAAACAAATTACTTGCAACATAGATGCAAAGCATTAAAAGAAACAAAGGTTACCAAATTTTAACTATGTAGATTTCTTTAACAAATTTGTATTCTGCTTTATTGAGCCTGATGTTGAAAGACATTTATTGTGTTTATTCATCTAATACTTAAAATAAAGGAGACATTACAGAATTCTGCTAGGTGGTACTAATAGTTGAGGTTTATCAAATTATCATTGCTGATGCAAAAGAAATTGAGTAATAATACTGTATTTAAGCTATGAAGGTATAGTTGTCTTATTGCTTAATTTATTTGGTAGGTTGGTAGAATCTGATTCACAACCTAAGGCTCATTTTGGAGCTTAATAGCCAGACAACTTGAACACTCAAAAGTATGCACCTGCAACAATACCTGAGTTTTGGCCAATTCCAGCAGCCATACTTCAACAACTCATAGACTGCTGAATGTTCAAACTGCATTCAAATAAGGCAAAGGCTGAGTTGTAACCAATCTCACTCTTTCTGTATCTCACTTCCAATTCCTATACGTCACTTTACCCTTTTTGTCTATAAATTTGTTTTAAACATGAGGCACCCCTATAGTGTCTGCGAATCTGCTGTGATTCTGGGGCTGCCCAAGTCGTTAATCGTTCATTGCTCAGTTAAACACTTTTAAATGTAATTTGGCTGAAGTTCCTTTTAATACTATAAAGCTCTTTATTTGACACCCATGCGCCATCACTGTTACTTGATCTCTTTGAAAGGGTAAGACAGCCTTCAAGCCAGGCCAGGTCTCCTTTCCATTATGCAGGAGCAGGTAACCTTCCTTGAGGATAAAATCTGCCAAGACATGCCACTTTCTCATCTCTTTAATATGGAGCCTCAGCCAAGTTTTCATCTAATAAATATTTACTGCTGCAAACTCGGAGGCAGAATCATCTATAAGGAATGGGCTCTGCCCTTGACCTCATGGTGTGGTTGGAGCAATTAGTTCTACACAGCTCAAGAGCTACACACACACAGAACAGAGGTTCCCCTGTCCCCCCACATTTACAATTGCCAAGCGATCTCTGGAATAGATACTGTGGGTCATTTCGAAGTAAACACTCCTTCTCAGGCCATATTTATTTTGCTCTAACAATAGTTTAAGAAAGACATGAGAAATTAAGAGACAGTTCAGAGGACAGCTGTCATGATAAAGAGTTTAGAAAGGGACGTGTAGGAAGACGGGTCAGGGGTGGGGGATATTGGGATTATTTAAGCCTGACAAGAGGAGCCCAAATAAAGTATGACAGGTAGTGGGTATTTGGACATTTGCAGGGATGATTATATAAAATATAGAGCAGATGTCCTCAAGGTTTTTTTTTTTTTTTGATGCCAAGGCACTCAGGAAAAGATTACATTTACATGGTCCACGGTGTAATCAGGTGAGGTTGCTTAAGACTACTTTCTGCCCTAAGGCTTCGATATGCCTGGGTCCTCCTTTGCTAGCAAAGACTGCTGAGATCAGGAGTATCATGCAAAAGACCAGGAAGGCTTAATAGTAGGAAGGAGAGCCTCATTGCTTTTCTTAGTTTGCAACCCAGGAAGGGAAAGGATCCAGTGTGGAATGAAGGTACTGCTCTCTGTTGGAATAGGGAAAGGACAGGTTGCAATTTATAATCATATTCATACATATTCAACAAGTTTGGGGGAAAAGGTATACATATTTATATGGGAGCCGAGCGCACCATAATGAGTAAACATATGTAACATATATCCCATGTTCACTTTGGAATGGGGTTTTAGCACTAAAATGAGGTAGAATTTGGCTTTTTACAACAAAGGGTGAACTATGGGATACAAAGGTGGTTTGTGTGAAGCCTCTTAGAAGCTGGCAGAAATTGGCAATCTGTAATTTTAATAGCTTATCAGAAAAGAATATTTGTAGGGCTGGTCCTCTGCCCAATCAGAGCTGAGAGCTGGTATGGTTAAAGGGATTTTAGTTATAGAAAGTTGGAAATTTGCCATGCCATCCAGGCTCTGAACCCTTGACCTATAGGGAACATTGTTTCCTTAACCCTAAGGTCTATCTTAGTTGATAAAGGGGCATCGATTTTGGTCTCTTAGAACACAAGAGCTTAATGCACTGTAATCTATTCCTGGTTTAAGGGAGTTGCTTACTTGTTATGAAATTGATGTAGAGGGCTGGGCTCTGTATTTGAGGTAGAGTTAGAAAATGGGTCAAAATGACAAACATGAGATTGACATAAAAGAAGGAAATATTCGATTCTGGATTTGAAAATACTGCTTGATGTGTCACAGGATGGGTGTGTAGGAATGTTTTTAAAGAAAAGAACTTTTATCTGAGGAATGCAAGTCCTTTTAAGTTATCAGGCCTAGACAGACATTAAAGTGAGACAGCAATCACGGCCCTACTTTCTCCTTGAGCTGTGTATTCATCTCTTGAAACTGCTTGCTATTGCCACATGTAGCTATACATTAACCCAATAACCCCACACCTGACACTATAACCCACACCCTATAACTTAACAATGTATAGCCAAACACTAATCAATAGCACTTCGTAAACCAATGAGAATTCCTGATAACTTTGTATCAGCCCACTTCTAGTCCCATGTTTTGACTTTAAAAACCTGCTAGTTACTGCTGCTAATTCGAGTGTATATTTAGGGTGACTTGCATCTGTGTTCCCAGGTTGCAGTCCTCAAGCTTGGCCCAGATGAACTCTCTATTTATGATAATTTTGCCTCAACTTCTTCCTTTTAGGTCGATGTATATGTGTGCTTGTGTATAGAGTATGTTCCAAAAGTGCTTGAAAAGTTTAAACTTCACTAACTTCAGTAAAATAAGTGCTATAATGTACCCCAAGATCCCCTGAAGTTTAGTTACATACATTTACTGTACACTTACTTTCACTTTGTAGATGTTAAAAATGAATTATTAGTGAAACCATGCCCCAGAGTTAAAGAAACCAATGACCAACACAGATCATCCGTTTACCGGATAGCAGATTAAACAACAACAGCAACAACAACAACTTGCTCAAATGCCAAAACTCTCCCTGCTTGTGAGATGAAAAAACTGGCTAAAATGGATTAAAGTTGATATTGCCAACTGAAGTTTGCACAGAATAAGCTGGCTGACATCACAGCCCAAATTTCTGCCACGTTTTCAACTAACGCCCCACAAATGTGCACGTGCGATCCATGAGGTAGCATTAAGAACAACTGTGCATGCCCGAGGACTTTACAGACCTCTCTTCTTCCACTGATCACCTATTAAGCCCAGAGACTACTCCCTAAACCTTTTCTAACAAAATGACTGCATGAAAGCCAGCGCACGGGACAGATGTGAGCTGGACTCCTGTCTCGTGGTTAATTTACCATAAAAACCTGCTTTTCTCAAAAACCCAAATTGGACAGTGAGCTCCTTTTCTTTGACAATATTTGTTTTAATTGTTTGAGTCAGTCCCTCTGATTGGAAATAGTAAAGGCTGACTTTAAAGTAAAAAAATTACTGTTGACATTCACAGAACAAAGTAAGTATAAAGGCACGTTAAGTTTCATATCTGGGCTAATGTAAGGCAAAAACATCCTGTAGATAAGAGGGATTGGAGGACGTTGGTGATCCTGAGAGTGCCAATGTCTGGGTACAGGCAGTATTTCAGGCTTTCAAGGCAGTGGTGTTGGTGGGGTTGAAGTTAAGGGCTCCAAACAGTAAGGCAGGACTTGGGTAATACCTGGTTTACTGTTGGAGCAAACATAAAATTCCACTAAAATAAATATATGACATGAAGAAAGGATAGAGTTGGGAAATGGAGTGGGAGGGTAGGGCAGAGGGACCTGGTGGTCACAGGACGGGTGGGGTCAGCTAGGCTGGTGAGGTCAAGGCTGTGGACACACCCTCCTCTTGTTGCTCCCTCCACCCTTAGAAACCCTTTGTGACTTCCATGTTCTATGATGCAGGCCTGGGCTTATAGTTAAGCCTGGGCAAACTGAGGGCTCAGTTGCTTCAGGCAGCCATGCTATTCAGATCATGGAGAATATCCTCTGTTTTCTGAACAGTTACACTGAGTCAGGGCTCGGCCCTGGCTTGGCACATTGCTTGGATATTGACCCCACCTTCCTCTGCTTGAGTGGGTTGGGGTTGTTTATGCTGTCCTTGTTCTACCTGCTATGGACTCTCTATTTGTCATGCGCTGGGAAAAACAATGACATCCCAATGGTAAGGAACAGTGGGTGAACACCCAAGGGAGATTCCCTATTGTTGTTGCCCAATCCTATTCCCACATTTCTAAGTAAATTTGGTTGGTACAGAGAGATGGTCTTAGATGGGAAGTCTGAAGAGAGGATAGAATTTCACTCTTCTTTGGAAGAGGCTGGATAGACTTAGGGCTTCAGGAGGACTAACATTTCCATCTGAAGCTCATAGACTACCTATCTGGCTGTGGTGGAGCGTTCCAGATAAAATTCCAAACACAGTAATTCTGTGGTCCCTGATTGGACTGCATAGAGAGTGTGGTCTCTCTGAAGAAGAACAATTTCTGCTGAAATTTGATCATGAGTCACATTCCCGTCACCTTCATTCAACCAAGCCTTCCTTCATATTGGGTTGGCCAGGGTAGCAATGCTGAGAGTCTCTGAGCAGGGGCTGGAGGCAGAGCTCTGTTTGGGACACTTTTCCTATGAGGGAGCACAGATGTGACTGTTGCCCTCTGAGTCTGTGCCCTCCTTGAGGACTGCTAACTGGGCACATCAAGTGTGACTCTCACAGGCAAAATCCTCTTTGAGTTTTTCAGAGAAGAAAAAATTAGAAATATTTGATCACCTTTAATAATTGATAACAGGAACATATTAGCATTAATTAAGGAGTCATACTATGCTTGGGTAATGAGTAAATGAATGAATTAATGTGCTTCATAGAGAGTGACATAAATGAGTCCCAGCCTCTCATTGTCTTTCTTTTGTTCTCAGCATCAGGGCAGAGCCAGGAGGAGAAAGAAAGGCGGGACATTTAAAGGTAAGGTCAACCTGCTCTATCTGAGCTTCAAGGGTGACCCTTCCTGTTTCCGTCAGGAGGACTCAGGCCCATGATTTCTTAGAATTTCAGTTACTAGATACAGTCTCAGAAAACAGAGCACTCACCAGAGAGGCTTACAGAAAAGCGATCAGACCTGAGACACTGCTCATAGGCCCTGCTCTGCCCATCCACAGGCATGACAGAGTGATAGACCTGGGCACTGGGTGTTGCCTAATTCGTTGGCAAGTTAGATATCGAGGAATGATTACTGGCTGGCTTGGAATCAGAGCTTCTGTCTCACAACTTTGCATTAGTACTTTGACTTCCTTGATGCTCAGATTCCTCTTGGAGGTAACCACTGACATCTGTGTTTCTGGTGGTGGTTTTGAGCATCACATGCGGTAATGTATGTGAAGGAATTTTATAAATGATGCCACATACACATGTGAACTTGTTAATAGTATCAATGACTATTCGCCCTTTTCTACTGATACTTGGGGCTATCAGAGTTGAATATCCTAAAGATCTTCCCGAGAGCGACTTCTGTATGATCCCTGTGCCTCTACTTTCATTACATATAACATACTGTTATGGTTTCCCAGACTGGACAACCTTCCAGAAAGAAGCAGAAGAGGAAAGGAAGCTGGTTTCTATTCTGAAAAGGTGATTAATTGTTCCCTTCTGTCCTGTTCCCACCCCACTCCTTTTTTTAGCAAGTTCTATTCACCTCAGATATTTCTTGTAGTCTGCGGTAGTTGTGGGAGTGGGTGGCCATAGGAACGTGTATGTGAATGAATGCGTTGAGGCCCTAGAGTGCATGGTGAGGTCATAGGCGGGAGGCAATGTGAAGCAGGTGAGCAGGCACCAGGGTTCCCACCCCTGCCAGGCTAAGAGACCCTCCTTTCCTTGTTCTGGTCCTGGCTGCAGCTTTGGGCCTTCTGCTTTCTGCAGTCCCCTGGGCCAGCATCATGAAACCACCGGCATTCGTCGACTGTTATGCCCAGACCCCCTCTGTGTGGTGTGTAACAGAATAGCTGCTGAGGCCGAGCGACGGATGTATTGGGAGTCCCTGAAAGATGCTGCTCCCTCTGTGTCCCCTTCGGCTTCTGCAGCTTCTGAGACTGAGTCATCATTAACTCTGGCTTCTGCCTCCTCAGCCACCCCTCCAGAAGACTTAATAGTGTCCCCTTGCCCTGACCCTTCTCCATCACCCCCCTTAATTCTCTCACCTGACCTGATCACCCCTTTAGCTGACTTATTTTCACCCTCACCACTGAGGGACCCTCTGCCACCAAAGCCTGTTTCTCCCCTGGATTCCAAGTTCCCTATAGACCATTCCACACACCAGCAGCTTCCCTTTCCCCTTCTCCCACCACATCACATTCAGAGAGCAGAGCCCAATCTCCATCCTGAGGCCAGTTTGTCTCTGAACACCATCTTTTCATTTGACTCTACTCTATCCCAAGATACGAACTCTTTGCCAAATATTTCCCAGGCCATGAATCCCTGTGATTCATGTACTTTTCATTACAAACCACCAAACTCTTCTGCTTTACGAATGCAAGATTGCACTGTGACTGAGTATGAAGCAAATCTCACCATACTGAAGCCTCTGGAAAAAGAGATGTTATCTATAGGTGGCTCTGGTAGGTCAACCACCTCTGCCCCTACAATCGGAGACATTGACCATTCATGCCCTGCATCTGCAGAATTCTCCTGGTGGCAGCCTCATCCCAAGGATGCCTTTTCTTCCAATTCTGTACCATCTGATTTCCTGCAAGAGCTCCTTAGCCTTCATTCTTCTGAGGCCTCTTTAGGGGGGTACTCTGTGGCTGACCTCATAATGCCTGTTAAGCTCTCTTTTCTCAGCCATGACATTGTGGCACAGCTGGAGAGACAAGTCAAAAAAAGGATTGATTTTCTGCTGCATAAAGAAAATGGAAAGAAACCAGGAACTTTCCCAAAACATCTTAGGCCAAACTACCAACTAAATTCTTCAGGGAAAATGTTAGCTTCAATTGCTGATAAGCATGGCTTGGCAACCTCCCTTCCTTTTGGGGCCAGTAACAGGAAAGTAGAGCGGCTGCACATCCATCAGCAGCCCCCAAATTCTACGTGCTTTGAGGACCATTTAGAGCAAAAACATCTTCAGCTCTTCCAGGGTCTCCCATCTCTGCATAGCGAGTCTCAGAATCCTACTGTTCCCCAACGTGGCCGTTCCTCCACGTTTGCATTCTTCAATGAAACTGCGAGTATGTCTACATTCCAGGAATCCCCAGTACTTCCCCATCCCGAACCTCCGTCCTTGCCTATTACCCAGCCTCTCCCCTTGCCTCAAACCCTGCCCCAAGGTCAGTCCCCGGCTCAACATCCATCTCTACTCACAGCCCAACTACCTAGTCCTCTATTCCAGATTGGGAACTGTGGAGTGTGTTTTCATAAATCTCAGAATGAGGCACCGTCTCTTACGCCATCTGAAATTAACCATCTGGAGTGGAACGTGTTGCAGAAAAATCAGGAAAGTGTGTGGGGTTTACCCTCTGTGGTTCAAAAATCCCAGGAAGACATTTGTTCTCCAGCTCCCAGTCCTTCATTGGTCAAGTCCTTTAAGGCTTGTTGCCCCATCTCCATCATTCCTGGAGATTTTCCATTCAGTGCTGAGCTTAGGAAGAAACTAGAGCACCACCTTCGAAAGAGGCTCATCCAGCACAGATGGGGTCTGCCCCGCCGAGTCCATGAGTCTCTGTCACTGCTACGTCCTCAGAGCCCAACTTTAGAGATATCTGAGTCAGAAAACAGTGAGGGACCCTTACATAGCTCGTTGGTTGAGGGTCAGAGCCACAATGATCTCAAGAATTTTAAATCAAGGAAACCTAGAAGCTTCCACAAGAGAAGCTCAAATATGCTTTCCCTGGAGAATGTGAGGAAGTTTCAGGAATACAGCCAGGAGAATGGCCCAAAAGATCATCTGTTGCATGAACCAGAGACATCTTCAGAAGAGGATCTGCGTGCTAATTCCGAGAGCGACCTAGAAGGTCCTATGATGCATCTGCCAGGGAATGATTCAGGGGTGAACCTAGGTCAGAAACAACTTGCGAATGCCCTGTCAATACATTTGAGCAAGAAATTTGAGGAAATCAATAAGGGTCGAGTGCCTATGAGTGTGCATAGCTCAGGGCATTCAATCAAGCAGACAATGTCTCTTCCTGAGAAATCCCATAGCCAAATAAAACATCAAAATTTGTCAGCATCGGTGGGTAAGGACCAATGCGTTGATACTTCCCAGGAGATGTCCTTCCTTGGTTCCAACAAGCAAAAGAGGTTGGAAGCCCATATTCAGTCTTTCCATACAAGGATGCTGTGGGGCCTTCCCAGCAAGGTCCTTGAATCCATAGAAATCTGTGAATCGAAAGAGGACCTTTCCAGCTCCTTTTCCCAACTTGACCTACTCTCCTCAGCCACATTCATTTCTCAGAGAGATTCCAAAGATGAGGTCTGCAAGTCTCTTAGATTCAGTACTTTTCAAGGAGAAAAGTTGGAAACACGCTCAGTACTTGTCCTGGATTGTCCTGACCCTGTCACCTCACCTGTAGGCAAAGAAAGACAGGGGACCCTGAGAAGACAGTTTTCTTATACTGACCATGACCTTACAGAGATGGATTCCAATGATGGGGCCTCCAAGCTCCTTGGAAGAAACACTACAGATTTTCAAGGAGAAAAAATAGGAACAACAAGCTTATTTTCCATCCTGAATCATCCACACCTCATCACCTCACCTGTTGACAAAGAAAAGCATGGGGCCCGGAGAAGAGAATTCTCTGATCCTGATCATGAGCTTAAAGAAAGTATCCAGACAACTGATGATGGCAGACAGAGTTTTCTGCCCCACACACACAGCATCATAGACGAAGTCAGTCAGAAACAGACTGTATTGGCTGGTAGAAGCAACCCGGAGCAGCCCATAATGCAACCTGGGGTTGGCAATGAGTCAATGAATAAAAAAGCGAGATTCAGTAATAACATGGAAAGGGTTCAGGGCAGTAGAAAGACCTGTCCTGTCACCAGTGGATCTAGGAAGATGTTCAAGGAAGAGAAGCTTAAACATCAGGTGCTGAGTGAGTTAAAGCTGGCCCAGGGGGAGCATAGCCAAGCTGAAACCCATTTCACTGCCATGTCCCTTGTCTTAGATAACTTGAGTTCCAAGGGCTTACTGACTCATGCCCAGAGCATCTCCAGTGGGAACACAGCAACTTCCCAGGTGCTGAATGTCCACGTGGAGGACAGAGGGATCCGTGTGAAACAACAGCAGGAGCCCTCGGTCCCTAAGCATATCTTACAGAATTGCCAAGTTAAGAATTTCCCACCAGCTACAAAGAGAGTGAGCACCCCCAGAGTCAAAGGAGGAGAGCTTGGTGGAGGGAATGCAGGGTTGGGGACATCCCAACCCAGGAGAAAGAGCCATCCTGTTCAGAAGAAGACATCAGGGGAGGTGCTTGGGAGAAAATCTTCCCCACCCTTGATAACACAGCCTCCTCCTGAAAACCTTTTCAGAAAATGGATGGAGACTTTTTCTCAGAGGTTTAAGAAACTAAGCACAACATGTGAGGAACGAGAAAGTTCCCAGGAAAAGCGTAGCTCCCTGTCATCATCTGTGCAGAACAGAGGTCAGATTAAGAATAGAGCTGCCTTTACGGGGACTCCTGAAGCTGAGAAATTTAACACTGACATTGTAAATTTCCTAAAGGAGAAGCTAGGGCATAGGCATGGGATAGATATCACCTGTCCCCAAGAGCCCCTTTCCTCCCGGTGAAGCTTACAAAAGCTCAGCACAAGCCAGTATTGCAGGGCTATCCCTGCAACTACACGGCTCCCTCCTGCAAAGTGACACATAGCAAAGCTTGCAGCCAACCAGCTATCCTAGTTGGCCAGAATTATCCGACAAGGATTAGACAGATCACAGACAAGAACAGACAGCCCCAGAAAGTTGAGGCATTTAAGAGCACTGATATTGTGTCAAAGGCATTCCTAATCCATGCCCCACAGGAAGCCTGTTCCCCAGCCAAACCCCACTTGCCAGTGTCAGCTTGACCCAGTGCCTCCAGCCATCCCAACCAGTGCTAAAACCACTATGTTCAGTGATTTGTCATTATTAATTACACAGCAATTCTTCTGAAGCATTTCCAGGGAGGAAAATTCCCCCCCCAATAAAATAATTCACTCCCTGTGGAGAATACTGGTTCTCCCCAATAAATGTTCTAATAAGAATGATGTCTTTTCTGTGTGTTGTGTTGCGGGGTATAGATTTTGGATAACCCAAGCTTGTGTTTAGTGAAAGGTAGGAGTTAGTTCAGCTCTTACTGACTGCTTCCTTTAACTTCTAAAAGGTGACCAATCCCCTGGAGCTCTTGCGGAGGAATGAGTATCATGTGTCTCCAAAAGCCCCTTCTCTCCCTGATGAAGTCTGAGGAGATGGGCGTTTTTCTGCCTCTTTGCTTGAGACTTACTGATATGGTATGGCAGCCTGCACCTTTAGAGCAGTGAGGAAGACAGGCCTTCCGTATGTGAAGAGAGGGTTAAGGACAGGTATATTTTTCAGAAATAATTGTTTAGTCACTATTTAAAAAAAGTTTTCAGTGACCAGAGGATCATGTAAGTTGGTGGAGTGTTGAGGGTATTGCTGGTTGGGGTAGGGTGTCAGGAACACCATGGGTACTGCTTAAGAATCCGAGAAACAGAGCATGCTTATACTTTAGGGAAGCATCTTTTGACCTCAGTGTTGAGGCTTTTCTACCAAAAAGTCACTTTGGGGAAGTAGTTCCCTCCTTGGGTATTTCTCCATGCTGCCTGCATTGATGACTTTTTTTTTTTGAGGCAGAGCCTCATTCTGTCGCCCAAACTGTAGTGCAGTGGTGTGATCTCAGCTCACTGCAATCTCCACCTTCCAGGATCAAGTGATTCTCCTGCCTCAGCCTCCTGAGTAGCTGGAATAACAGGTACGCCCCTATAATTCCACGCCTGGCTAATTTTTGTATATTTAGTAGAGTCAGAGTTTCACCATGTTGCCCAGGCTGCTCTTCAACCGCTGATCTCAAATGATACTCTTGCCTCGGCCTCCAAAAGTGCTGGGATTACAGTTGTGAGCCACTGTGCCCGGCTGATTGATGACATTTTTACAGAGCAAAACGATCCTTTATCTGTCTGTGGCAGCAATGTTGACCAGGCAACCACCTATCTCATAGGGTAAAATTAAGCTGAGAATAAAGAAAAAAGTACCTTAGAATGAATGAGAAAGTAAGAAAAAAATGAAGATAGGAAAGGATGACCCTGCTGGTGGAAAAAGGTTTGTGCCCCATCATGTCCATATCATGACCCTTTCTCAATCTGGATCTAGGCACCACCCCCTTGAGGTTTACCAGGGCACTGCAGAGATTAGAGATGCCGTTTTGCCAGCAGTGTACATGGTTCTATTTTTCAATGACGGTAATAGTATATGCAGGACTGTTTCCAAGCATGACCTCCATCTCTTTAGAGAAGATGATCTTTATGCCTTCTCTCCAGCCATGTTGATGGCAACATACAAGATCTTCCCTTAGTGTATACGGTGCACTTATCAGGATGGAGGTGTCGCCTATAATTTTCATGGACTTAGTGGAATATAATTGATATTGTCTAGAACACCCACAGCTCATGATCCAGAGGTGAGTCCTGGACTATGCGTGAGCATTACAGATATTTGGGGGCTCACTATGGAGCATTACAAAATGCTCCTTATGGCCAAGAGTGCGCACATACCCACCCTTAAAATATTAGGGGTCTGAAGAGAAGGCAACTCCACTTACATAGACTGGAACTAACAAATGAGGTGAGTTTCTTTCTTTTTTTTTTTTTTTTCTTGAGACGAAGTTTTACTCTTATTGCATACACTGGAGTGCAATAGCACAATCTCAGCTAACAAACCCAGCCTTCTGGGTTCAAGCAATTTTCCTGACTCAATCTCCCAAGTAGCTGAGATTACAGGTGCCCACCAGCACATCTGGCTAATTTTTGTATATTTAGTAAAGACAGGTTTTCACCATGTTGACCAGACTGGTCTCGAACTCCCATCCTCAGGTGATCCACCCACCTCAGCCTACCAAAGTGCTGGGATTACGAGTGTGAGCCACTGTGGCTGGTCATCATTTGTTTTTATAAAGCATAAAAGGCAGGTGTTTATGTCTAAAATGATGCTCTATTACTTCAATTATAAAAAAAAATCAATGCTTTGAAATCTACCCAATGAAATTAAAAAGCAAATACATTAGCTCTTCATTATTTTCAGGATATACAGTCCAAGACTGCTAGTGGATGCCTGAAACCACGGATAGTACCAAACCCTACCCATACTGTGTCTTTCTCTATACATATATACCTATGATAAAGTTTTATTTATAAATCAGGCACAGTAAGAGATTAACAATAACCAATAAAATAGAACAATATAACAATATACTATAATAAAATTTATATGAAAGGAATATATTTCTCTCAAAATATTATACTGCACTTACCCTTCCTCTTGTGATGCTATGACATGATAAAATGTCTACATGATGAAATGAAGTGAGGTGAGTGACCTCATTGTGACCTATCATTAGGCTACTATTGAAAACTTATGAATTGCTTGTTTCTGGAATTTTCCATTTGATAATTTCAGGCTAAAGTTGACTATGAATACCTGAAACAATAGAAAGCAAAACCATATATAAATCGGGGAATCCACTGTACTCTGAAAGGAGTGATTTTTTTTAAGTCTGTTCCCAAAATTTCTGATAAAGATATGCACCAAGCATATATATTGAATAATGCTTCCTAGTATATGTGTATCTTTAACTTTACTAAATAATACCAAATTGTTTTCAAAAGGGGTTGTACATGTTTATTCTTTGTATGTTATTGTTTGTTTTGTTGTTTTTGTTTTTGTCATTGGGTGAATGGTTGTTTTTGTATTTCAATGACAAAATAAAAAAGTAGTATATGGCTTAAAAATCCTCTTAAAAATAATTTTAGAGGTTTTCATTCATGTCATGGTTGCTCAGTTTTTAAATAATCTTGCTAATCATGATGGTGTCGTATGCTTGTTAGCTAATATACTGATGCATAATAATCCTCAAATTAAGATTTATCATTGAGAACTGATTTGGTCATGATATAACATCATATATAAATATGCTAAAATTTTGTTTAGAATACTTGCATCTATGTTCATGAGGGCTTACCTCAGGAATGCAAGACTGGCTTGCCATTCAAAATCAATTAATGTAAGACATATGGTAAGATAGCATCGATTTTCGTATCTCAGATACAAAAATCCACTCTGAGCAGAGAGAACCCTGTGAATTTCCTTCCAAATAGTAACTTGTAGGAAATGCCCAGCACGGTGAAGAAGCCCCCAATATTATAGTATCTATACTAAGGAGTACTTTATTCCACATAGTTATGACCCTAAAAAGATAAACTGGACTCACTTTTGGTTCTGAAACCAACTCTGGTAGCTCAAGAAAAGAGAGTATCTTTTAGCCTAATGGTTACCATATTATGAACTCAAGCAGATGAAATGTAACTATAGTAATTATGTGACCAAAAATAAGTTTAAGGAGAGAACAAAAATGAGGATTAGACCCACTTTGCTATCTGCTTTAGAAGTCAGTATTTTATTTTTGAAAGAAATATTTAACAAACCAAAGATATTTGTTTGAAGATTTAGTAATGGTTAAGGCATGATAGTTATTTAAACTCAACAAGTTTTCACTTGTCTTATTGTTTTATCAAGTGCGTTTATGTAGTGCCAGGAATATTCAAACAGAATTTAAAATTGGGACCACCAAATTATATCCATTATTACCAATTCTAGAAACTCCTAAAGCTTATGGGTGACAGACTGTCAGAAAGTTCTCTTTACCAAATAAAGGACAACCTAATCTCCGTTATGAACTGTCATTAGTAATTTAGCAAAGCTAGAAGGCAGTTCAGCCAAGTAGACAGAAAATTAAAACATGGGCAGCTCCTGATTGAAAATTTATTCATAGCAGGTAATGAAACAGCACAGTCAGGATCTCTGGCATTACTCAGAGTGAGAGATTTAATTCTGATAATTTTGATGATGGCACTTGAATCAGAGATTATAAATGTTGACAGGTTGTGACATATAGATAAGATAAAATGAGCATCAGCAACATGGCTGTACAGAAGCAATTCTATAACAGTTTTTTCACATAGTAAATACAATAATTTCAAAAATTATGACAAAAGTTTTCAAAGAAGAGGCCTAGGCCTTAAGCAAGCCATGTGCCATATTTATATCTATTTGTCAATGGGTTATAAAATTAATCAGCCTAATAAAGGCAAGAGGTGGAAAAATTAATATTTAAAATATGAAACATAAATTGGAGTTTCTGATTTCATCTGGATGAGGAACAAACTCAAAATTACAGGCAGAGTAGCTATTACATGAAGAGGGTGAAAGTAAAGGATTGGGTTATATATTTATATGCATGTAAGGAATATTCATTAAATGCTTTCACATATAGCTAAATACAACTATGCTGCTCACATTTTTTAAATACATTTTTTTATTTTGGACTTTGTGTACCTTTTTATATTTTCTAATTATTTACAATAGCATTATTTGAAAGGAGTATTTTTTTAATTACCTATTTCAGATATAACTCTCTGATATTTCTCATAACAGAAATACGACTGAGTAAATAATATTTCCACATGGACAGGTATTTCAATACATCTCTTTTGAAATTGTAAAGTAGGATATGTTGTATGTGGTTAAAATTCTTTAATGCCCCTTCAAAGTGAGGGGTCTTACGGAATTTTAAGGCTATGTGCAAAAATTATCCTATCTAACAAGTTTTATTAAACTAACAAGTTGTCATGTTTCTTTGAAACTGTGATTGACTAGTAGTTTTCTACAGAAATGGCACTCTGCCATGTTCTAAACCCAGACCACATAAAATGGCAGCCTGCATATCCTGTCTTTTGGGACTATCACTCTTGTGAGAAAGCCCACGCCGTCTGTGGAGTGGGGTATGAGGAGGGCTTGCTGAAGTCCTCAAACTCACAACCAAGGCTGAGCTCCTAGCTGACAGCCTGTACCAACTGCAGGCCATGTGAGTCAACCATCCTGAAAGCAGATGCTCTGTCCCCTGTATAAGCCACCTCAGCTGACACGAGATAGATAAAGAAGAGCGGTCCACACTGATGTATACCCAAATTGTGAGTTTAGGAACAAAATAAATATTGCTGTTAAGTCACTAAATTTTTGGCTTGTTTATTAAGCAGAAATAAATAACCAAAAGAGCCAAGTAGGACTTTGATCATGAATGCTAACAAGTGTTTGTTTAAATGTATTTATACACTGGCTTTGGAGGATTTTATCTATATTGTTTAATAATGTCATAACTAATTGACTGTTTAATAATGTCACAATATTGACTGTCAACTTGATTGAAGGATGCAAAGTATTGTTCCTGGGTGTGTCTGTGAGGGTGCTGCCAAAGCAGAAAAACATTTAAGTCAGTGGGCTGGGAAAAGCAGACCCCCCTTGATCTGGGTGAGCACAATCTCTAATCAGCTGCCAGCACAGCCAGAAAAAAAGCAGGCAGGGGAACCTGGAAAAACTAGATTGGCATAGTCTTCCAGCCTCTGTCTTTCTCTCGTGCTGGGTGCTTCCTGTCCTTGAACATAAATGCCACGTTCTTCAGCTTTTGGACTTGGGCTTTTCACCACACACTGAAGGCTGCACTATGGTCTTCCCTACTTTTGAGGTTTTGGGACTTGGACTGGTTTCCTGGCTCTTCAGCTTACAAATGGCCTGTTGCAGGAACTGACCTTGTGATCATATGACTCAGTTCTATAATAATCCCCTTCATATAAATATCTATCCTATTAGTTCTGTCTCTCTAGAGAACCCTGACTAACACACTAATAGTATAAACCTATATAGTTAATACTAATTCTATAAAATTGGCAAATCTAGATATTGGTCAGATAAAATGACACAGAATAATGCAAATGCAATTTAATAAAACTATATTTACAGAGGACTAAGCCTATATGACAGCAAAAATAAAATAAAATAAAATGGTCACAATTAAAAAAATTAAGCTAAAACCATACGATGCTTCATTTACCAAAAGTGTGCCCATAAGAAAGATTAATAGTTAATTCAGTAAGAAACCAAGTATGAAATAATGTTAAGTTTGTCGCAATTTCTGTATTAGAAATGTTTTTGAAAACAAGTATAATCCCTTTTGTTTAGAAAATTGGCTAAGTTTAAATGCACTTTGAGAGTTCATGGTACAGCAAATCACACTAGGATAAACATGTTAATAAAATAAAAATGTTTTACAACATAAAAATTCATCCACCTAATGTATTTCTTTTTAAGGTAAGTTCTACATAAAACGTTTTAAAACATAAAAAACTAGCCATTTAACAAATACATTTCTTTCGTAAGGCACAGTTCTATAGAATGAATCCTCATTCATCCATATATGAACCGGGTGCTCAATTAATTGAATTTCTTGTGAATATTCTACTTCTATAAGATTTACTCAATTATTTAATTAGCAGAGTTTTGTAACTGCAGTGTTTTGCCAATAAAAGGGCAAAAACCACAATTACTTTTGCACCAACCTAATATATCACAGAATTAATGCAGATTTAGTCTTTCTAATCTGCTATCAATATGTGGCATAAAAATACATGTTCAAAAGTTCACATAAATACAAAATACCTTCATGAACAAAATTATTTTAGCCCCCAAACTCTGCCTACTTCTATAATAAAAAGACTGGGAATAAGAATGATTAATCAGTTTGTACCGGAGCAAGCCTAGCCAGGAATCATGCTACCATCTTGTTTCTTTTCTCACCTATTACACTGTCTCATCTGGCAAGAGTGATTCCTGAATGGCTCTGAAATATGAAATAATGTATGATATTCAGAAATACTGTACACATTTCCTTCATATATAAATAACCTAATTTATGTTGAAAAATGAGACTTCTAGCAAGCAGGATAGCTCACGCCTATAATCCTAGCACTTTAGGAGGCCAAGTCGGGCAGATCACAAGGACATCAATACCATCCTAACTAACAAGGTGAAACCATGTCTCTACTAAAAACACAAAAAATTAGCCAGGCGAGGTGGTGTGTACCTATAGTCCAAGCTACTTGGGAGGCTGAGACAGGAGAATTGCATGAATCTTTGGAAGCAGAGGTTGCAGTGAGCCAAGATAGCATCACTGCACTCCAGCCTAGGAAACAGAGTGAGACTCTGTCTTAAAAAAAATAAAAAGAAAGAAAAATGAGACTCTTCTTCATTTTATAAAACTATTTGCTGAGACATTTTTCTATAGTGCCTATTTTCCAGGTATATGTATGTTTATGTATGTGCAACACTAGAAAGAAAATTCACTAATTTTTTTAAAAAATACATATTTGTATATATATAGTACATATATAATACATATACATATTTTAAATAAGTATAAGTATTATAAAAATATGCATTATACATTACTTGATACTTTGCTACTTTTAATATGCCCGACATTTTCATTTCTTCACATATGATAAACAACAAATACAAGTTCATGTTTTTTTAATTTTTCTTTTTAATTTTTGCCATATGCTATTTAATCACCTAAAACATCCTTCTACTTAGATGGTAGAAGAGGTCAGAGATCTGTTTGATCTTAACAAATGGTTTCAAACACTAAGCTTGAGTTTATTTATCTGAAAGTTGACCATAACAATAGTACCTACTGCATGTAAGCAGAGTTGCAACACAGATTAATAAGATAAATAGGTGGCTAATATATCTGAAACACTTGGCATCAAACATGAAACATATACTAGTACCTGTTGTTTGATAGTTATAACTATAATCAGAACCACATAATTTTAAGATATAAAGCAATGAAGTATGATTTTTTTAAATGGCCTATTTAAGACAGCATATTTCTCTATTAAAAGGAGGCCTGCTATGGTTAAAGTCAACTTGATAAAGTGGCCTTTTAGATATTTAAAAAAAGTTTCAAAGTAAAATTTTTAAATGACCATATAACCAATATGTTTTACATGGCATAAGATACTTGTGCTATACAAAAAACAAGGTAAAATCCACTGTACAATAAAAATAAATCCAATTAAGAACACTGAGTATCAGTGAGAGAGTACACACATAATAAATTTAGTAAAATTCTTTAAAATTCATATTAAGCAGCAACGATAGAAAACATTTCTATATTGTATGTACCTACCTGGAGTAGGCAAACAATCTGCTATCCCAAAGATCATGAGTCCCTCTAGGTCCAGAATGAAAATAACAGGAATCTGTCCCATCAAACATATTCAATCCATCTGCTGAATTTTTTGAAGCATGGCTGTGTACCACATCTAAGAGGACTATGATATCCATGGAATGAGCTGTGTCAACCAGTTCTTTCAGCTCTTCAGGTGTTCCATAACGGCTACCAATAAACAACATGGCACAAACAAGATTATATCAGATTTAGAGGAAATAGCTAATTGTGCATCAATTGTTTGACCATCACAGTACTAAATACTTTAAACATGCAAACACCATGTCATATAATTGAATACAACTCAAATTTGCTTAATATTTGATATTAAGCAAATTTAAAACCATTAAATTAGAAAATAATTTAAATCAGTTTATTAAATGTAGATTTATGCCCCAACCAGAATTCACATTTTGAGGATGTAAATAATATAACTCTGCTTCTCTATTTTCAGCTTCTGATTTCCATCTCATGTCTATCTAGCCATGGCCATTCCTGCTTTCATGTATGCCCATTCCTTTCAGTGTGTACATCGGGGATTCAGGGCTCTTCAAGAATTTCTTTGAATACCCATGATGCCTTGATTGAGGTCATCCCTCCTGCACTTATCCAAAAATAGAATGCCCTCAGTTACCAGTGGGCTGAGAAAATGTGCCACGGGTGTATTACTTGTACCACCCAAGTAATACAGATGGATAATTCACAAGCAGGTGTTTGTGTGTTAAAGGTGGCCTCCTAGTCTGAATGAAATAGATAACAAACATTATTCACAGAGGAAGGCCTTTCTAAACCTGTGTAACATTTTAACATTATGGTCATCCATAGCATCAACTTTGCCCTTTAAAGAGTCACCCTTGCCTTCAATTGTTTACTGTTTGTCTTCCTCACTAGACTATATGCTCCTTGAGGGCAGTGGCTGTGACCATCTGGCTCCTCGTGATAAGATACAGTGCTAAGTACAATGAGTCTCCTGACAGCCAACTCCACTGAGCAGCAAGAGCTATCTTTTAAAACTGCAAATAGGATCATATCACCTACTTAAAATCATACTTGTGCTGCCATTGTTCCCAGGGTGAAGACCATTGTCCTTATCAGGGCCTACTGCCGCATCAACTGGCTTCGTCCAACAATGTTAATTAGCTTAGGACACTCTCCCGCCCCCTCTTCTAATGCCAGCCACCTATTCATTTCTATTCTCATTGACAACATGCTCAATAACAAACAGCATTAAAGTTTTTTTATTCAGCCATTCACTCATTCCTTCATTCATTCCATTATTTGTTTGCCAAATACTTAGTAAAGTCATCTACCACGTGCCATGACATTTTCTATGTTCTGGAGATACACCAGTGAAAAAAATAAACACCACTGACCATATGAAATTTACATTCTCACTGGGAAACAACAAGCAGGCAAAATATGCAGAATGTCAGATAATAATAAGGGTTCTAAAGAAAACAAAGAAAAGCCACCGGTGAGAAGGGAAGGTTTGCTATTTTAAATAGGGTCATCAGTGAAAGTTTCATAGAAAAGGTAATATTTAAGGAAGAAAAAAGTAAGAATCAAGGCATAAGACTACATAAGGGTAAGAGCATTTGGACAGAAAGGAATAGCAGGTACAGGGCACTGGGGCAGGGATGAGCTAAGAGCATTTGAAGAAAAGCAAACAGGCTGGTGTAACTGGAATGGTCAAGAAAGAAAGACATGAGCTCTGAGAGTCAGCCAAGAAGCACATTGAATGAGTTCTTGGGGACCAACGTAAGGCCTTTGGCTTTTATTCTGAATGAGATAAGGGAGCCATTAGGGGTTCTGAACCAGACAGTGACATGAATCTGACTCTCATTTTTAAATGATTACTCCAGCCACTGTGCAGAAAAAATTAACCATAATAACTGGTAGAACAAAGGTAAGAGAAGGGGAAAGAAAACATGAGAAAACAGAGTGACCAGTTAGAGCTGTTGAAACAATCCAGGTAAAAGATAATTACAACTTGGACACGGGTGGTGGCAGTAGGGGCTGTTGAAGCAGCCAGATTTGGGATATATTTTGAAGTTACAGATGGCCAGATTTTATAATAGTGAGCATGTAGGGAGGAACAGAAAGGGACAAGCCAAGTATAATGCCAAGATTTTTGGCTTGAACAACTAGAAGACGAAAATGTCATTTACTGAATTAGGGAAGACAGTAGGGGGAGGAAGTTAGAAGTTATGATCCGAAACTTAATTTTGGACACATGAAGTTTGAGATATGTATTAGATACCCCAACATCAAGTACATACTTTCTGAAGTTCATAAGATAGGTCAGAGAGACCTAAGTTTGGGAGTTAATGTTTAGCATATATTTAAGCTACAAAAATGGATGAGACTTGATGAGATCCTCCCAGGTATTTAATATACATAAAGAAGAGAAGGGAACTAAGTACTGAGCACTGGGATGTCCAATATTTAGTGGTCATAAAGATCAAGAGGAAAGAGCAAAGGAAATTAACAGGAAGCAACAAGTGAGGTGGGAAAAGCAACAACAGGAAGTCAAAATATTCTGGGATCCAGGGAAAGAAAAAGGTTCCAAGAAGGTGAGAGTGACCAGCTGTGCCAAGTGGTGCTGACGGCTGAAGTGAGCTAAGAATTGCCTCCTGTCCTCAACAGTGTGAAGGTTACTGACACCCTTGACAAAAGCAACTTCAGTCAAGAGGCAGGCAGCCTACTTGGAATGGGCTCAAGAAAGAACCAGAGTGGAGGATTTGGAGGCAGTGCTATAAATAACTTATTCAGGGAGAACTAACAGAAACAGCTAAATGGGCCAGTATCTTTTTTCTATGTCTGGAATGTTACCTATTTATGCCTACTTCACACCTTTCCCCAGTTAACTCTTAGTCATATTTTAGACCTCACTTGCAATATTAGTCCTGATCTAAACTGATCAGACCTCTGATTATAGCTCCCTGTCATTTTCACTTTAGCTTTTATTACAGTTAAAAATAATAATATATGTGTATGATGGTTGGAACAATGCCTATATGCCATATATCATAAACTCCACAACACTGAGAGCGCTGGACTTCTTCAGTCTGCGGTCATTTAGATCAGTACCACTTTAACTGCATAGAACCCCTTGGTGTCTTTCTGTCCAGAGAGCAACATTCCATCCACTTCAGCCTGGAGGGAAGGGCAGTCCTTCTGTGAGTAGTAACTGTCCTACCAAGGGCCTCTTCAGTGACCTTCCTAAATGAGTCAGTCTCTTTCCAGAAAATGATGTGCTCTCTCACAATAAAGGCTTCCATAAGACAAGGTTTTCTGACTAAAACTTGGACCTCCAAATATGTGACAATTACAGCAGGTAATGACATTCTATATCACATATCATCCCATGACGAGCAACATAAATTCAAGGACAATTTTTTAAGGCTGGAAGGGAAGAAGGTCTATGACCTTAGTAAAAGAAAATGTTCAGCTTCTATTAACTCTGTTAACTCTCAAATGTTACACAATGTCATATAAAATGTAAAATTTCATTTTATTTATTTAAACATTTTACTAAAAATAAAAATGAATATAATGAGTCTTTGATGTTACCTTGAAGCTGCAAAGAAGCTTGTGATTTGGTAACCAAAGCTGGCATAGTAAGCATGCTCCATGATTGCCATCAACTGAATGCAGTTGTATCCTATATAAGGCAATGGTCAAATATAAATAAAAATAAAAAGCCACAAATTTTTACAAAAAGTAATGGGGAAAAAAGCATCCTTAGTCCAAATACATTAAAATTGACAAGCAATCTGGAAGCTCTGATCATCTTGAAAAGTTCTACTACATCAACATTTTTTGTTTGACCTTCTAACACAACATTGGATAGTCTCTTAGAGCTTTATTCTGACTAGCTATTTGATATATCTTCATTTTAACAAGCAATAAATAATATGCAAATTTACTTAATTTGGTTTTAGCATATTAAAGATGACAATCTCCATATGCTAAACATCAGTTACATTTGTAATATTCATATTGAAGACTATGAAAGCTAAATAAAAATAATCAATTGCATGACATATACTTTTTATTTTGGCTCTTTCTATATATTTCAGTCCATTTTATCATATAGCATAAGAAGTATCATAATTCCATATTTTCCACAAAGGAGATTTTTTTTTTTTGAGAAGCAGTCTCTCTCTGTCACCCAGGCTGAAGTGCAGTGGCATGATCTCGGCTCACTGCAACCCCTGCCTGCTGGGTTCAAGCAATTCTGGCTCAGCCTCCCGAGTAGCTAGGACCACAAGTACCTGCCAAGATGCCCAGCTAATTTTGTATTTTTATTAGAGATGGGGTTTTACCATACTGACCAGGGTGATCTTGAACTCCTGACCTCAGGGGATCCACCTGCCTCAGCCTTTCAAAGTGCTGGGGTTATAGGCGTGAGCCACCATGCCCAGCCCACAAGGTAGCTTTTATACAGTCACCATTAATGCTTCTACTTTCCACTATACAATTTGCACCTATAAAATTATTTCAAAGTTGCACATATGCATGCATGTGCACATAGAAACATATATCACCTTCCTTTCTCCATCGGAATATGTTTTGCTCTAACAATAAATAAAGTGATTCAAAAAAGCAGATACTGTGTTTTAAAAATCCACGGCATTAAAAAAATTTTAACATATTTTTAATATAAGCAAATAATAAGAGAAAAAAGTGTTGGTCTTTAAAAAAAGCTAAGAAAAACAGGCTTATCTTCTTGAAGTATAATTTGGTAAAATTTTCAAATGTTATTTCATTACTTTGGAAGTTACATTTCTGTAACATACATAGAAAATATTATTATTCAGCTCTCAAAGTCCAATTAACATAAGTTTTATGATTTTCTTAAGGTTTATATAAGTTCATTTTTAATGCAAGTTCATTTAAATATACAACTAAACTTGTAAATATACTTCTAAACAAACAAAGGTATTAGATTAGTTTCATTCTTCTCAGTTGACATCTTGTAGATTTTCATTTTTACAAGTACATTTTTCAGTACATTGTTAATACTGGAACAATTACAAATTCACATGCAGAATTCAGGATTTATACATTTAAAGAAGAGCATTAACTTGTCCATGACTTAATAATCTACTGAAAAGTTATTACTATTGGCTTTTCTATTGTAAAAAGTCTAATTAACTCTACCAGGCCTGATAAATATAAATATGAACTTCTCAAGTAAATATGCTAATTATTAAATCCTATAACAAAATATAGAGTTTATGGTTATTTGTCTACTGTGCAATAAATATCATTCTTATAATCAAGCACAAATTTATAGTTTTAGTCTTAATTTTTACGACATTAATCATTCCTGGATTCACTTAGATTCCAGGTGCTAGGCAAGGCAATTCAGACACAAAGATGAATAAGAGAATCCTTGTGCTGCTGTATGTTCTGCAAGAACTGGGTCATAAGCAATTTATTTCACTATAATATGAAAGAATATATCAAATATAATAATTTAGCATATCTATTAGTTATAATTAATACTAAATTATCAATACGTTCAATTAATTTTGGTTTCTGGAACCTGACTTCACCATCACAGATAATCCATACATAACTGAAAACCTTAACCATGACTTACAAACCTTTGTTCTAGCCAAAATTTGGACTCCCTAGCAGAAGCAGTGTAATTAAATGTGCTGTATCTTCCTGCCTAGCCATTGAAGCAGGTGTTAAATATACTGTTATATTATTTTAAACAGCATTACCTATAAAAACAACAAATTTAAAGCACACTGAATCAATAATACAGCAATATAGTATTCGCTCTCTGGTTCACTATGAAGACAGGATGTGTGCCATTACAGTTCAATATATGAACATCTAGCACAATGTGTCTCACATAGATATTCTATAAATGTTTGTTAAATAAGTCATCCAGGCAAGGGCTATATGCAATAACTCATAAAAAATGAGTTCCAGGCACATTACAAATATAAGGTTTTTTTCCCTAACAGACTAAAATGAACAGGCTATAATCAATGATCACTTAAATTGATAAAGGTTTCCTCCAGTAGAAAAGTAATTATGCTTACATATTTATCTATAATTTTGGAAGTCATCAGTTCACATTACTTAAAATTGAAATTGGAATAGTATCTTTAATTCTTATGCTCTATCTTATTCCATTTCTCTTTTCTATGCTATCACTATTACAGGGCAATTTGAGAAGCCTAAAATAAAATGCATTTCTATTACATATTTTATCTCCTAACACAAAAAAGAGACACTTGTAATTAGCTTTTCTAATAAGATAACAGACTCATTAAAATTTTATCTGAATAAAAAATCACAGTTATTACTTACCAAGGTCTTTGATTCTTGGTAGTACATTGCATGTGAAATGTTTATAAGAAGCTACTTTTCCTTCATGGGAAGAAATCCCCACATGAGATTCATAAATTCTTAGACTTCGTGGCTTCTTTGGTCTGGAATGCTTAAACTAAAGAATATAAAATTACATATAAAATTAAACCAGGAATTCAGGTGTGACCCTAACTGATCAAGTATATATATTTTTTAAATGGTGAAGAAACTCAAACACTTGGAGCTATTCTCACAAATAAAAGGCCCTGGATACACTCACTAAATTTCCTTTTGGGGAAAAAAGTCCTTCTTATGGTCCAGATAGTGGACCTATTTTAAAAGAGAAATCACCTAATGGCTTATGCCTTATCATTGAGTAAAGATTTTTTTTTTTTTGAGCTTAGGCCTTATAGAGAATGTAAGAGCCATGAAATACATACATAATTATCAAATGCAAAGCATATGTCAACAAACTCCAATGATGTAAAGGACAGAAAGTGAGTTCAAACATACACAGAACACTTGTCAAATATACGGCAGTAAAAATTACTCTAATTAATACATTCATGAGATGGTCTTTCCTATTCTGTGTTTCTAAGGACATTGATCCTAATTCAAACCCATGACACTGAGACATGTTGTATTAAAGAGTATTTGATAAATCAGAAATTGTAGTTTTAAGAAAAAAAAAAAACCAGTATCCTTTACTGATCAGTATGTTGCAATTTAGTATTCTGTTTTCCTTAACCTCAGAAACATATACAAACACAAAACTCACTTCTATATTTTATTGGCTACAGAAGACAGACTCTGATACAGGAACAGTATAAGAGAAATACTATGATGTAAAATACTCAACTGTCAGTGAAGAGAAGTATTGAACATTACTATAAAAATATAAAAGTAAAAATTAATTTTCCTAGAGATATTGGAACAAGGATTTATTTAAAGATTTGTTGTTCTCACTTTATATAAGTGCTCTGGATCCCAGTGTATCCAATCATAATTCACATTATCAGCTTCACGAACCACATACTTTGCCCACGGTGAAATACGATACAAGATCTCTCCACTTTTACTCTTAATAACTACCTGAAAAAAGAATGAGATGTTATTGCTTTAAAATACTTTCAAAACTCTGATAATACATAATGGTTTAGGAGTATTGCTACAAGCAGGAAAGGAGGAATGATCTTAAGAATCTGGACCAACATACAGATCTGTGACCTTCAGGAACATATTGAAATCCTATGGATGTTGGTTTTCTCATCTGCTATTACTGTATCATCCTTAAAGTAACTTCCTAGTTTGAACATTTAATAATTTTCTGGCAATTACCACCACTGCAAACCAGCCATGAGAATGCATAATTAAACAGAGTAGATACTAAAAAGACAAGCATATTATTTGGAAGCTGCTGTCCATAAATCAATAAATCAATCAATGAAAGGAAATCATTCTACTTCATTTAAAAAAAGGAATTAGTGAGTTATATAACCATCTCTTTTGTTTGCTTTTTATAGCAACTAATGATAACATGTTCAGGAAGCAAAAGGAGAAAAACGGGTTTGATTAACAATGTGTGCGCACAGACACAAACATTTTCCACACCTCCTCAACTTCTTTTACCTCCTATCTGTCGTATTCTTTACCATATAAAACCAAACATTACCTCCTTTAATCATCTGTTCATGTTTGCCAACAGTACCACTACTGTTTTTGATAATAAAAAATAACAATAAAAATTTTTATTTTTATACTGAATCTACCATTGAGACTTGAACTGAATAAATGATTTTGAATCTATCCAGCCACATAAATGGAATTTTCAAATGATTGAAATTGTAGCTGTTTATTTATTTATTGATAGGGTGTCATTCTATCACCCAGGGTGGAGGGCAGAGGTGCAATCACAGCTTACTGCAGCCTCAACCTCCCAGGCTTAGGTGATCCTCCCACTTTAGCCTATAGAGGAGCTGGGATTACAGGTATGTGCCACCATGCTCAGCTAATTTCGGTTGGTGGAGGGGTTTTGTAGAAATGTTGCCCAGGCTGATCTTGAGCTCCTGGACTCAAGTTATACTTCTGTCTCAGCCTCCCAAAGTGCTGAGATCACAGGCATGAGCCACTGCATAAGGCTGAAATTGTGGCCTTTTACACAAAATTGTCTTTTTTACTGAACTTTCTAAAAAATAATGGTAGAATATGATGAAAAAAAATGTCCAGATTAAGAGCTATATTATGCTCTCATCATTGAGAAAGTCTCAATTTTTTTTTTGAGTCATTCTTCAGTCTCCTCTAATAGAGAAAAGCTTAAGTACTCACAATTCTTGGTAATTAAATATTTGTATAATGCTTTATAGTTTCTAAAGGACTTTTACATTCTTATCTTACTTGATTCTAGAAAATCTTTATGACCCAAATATTTTAAGTGAGATTATGTAAGTTGCCAAAAGTCCCAAAATAGCCAAGTGGCAGAGCCAAAAGTTGAACACAGAGCTTCTAATACTCAATTCTTTGCTCCGAACAGGATTCCACAGCACTTTCTTCATGTGCCAAAAAATACCCCATCATAGTTTATGAAGGAGAGGCCAAGTAGGTGATGAAAGGATTGTGTAACTTACATGAATACAACTCTGTCTCCTTCATTATGCCTCCCAGCTATTACAGCTTATCATGGCCAGCTGTTGCTATTATTCAAGCGATTACCAGAAAGCATGAATCAATAAGAACAACCTACTTCAAGATTATTTTATCTTAAAAAAAAGTTTCTTAAACTACATGAATTTCTAGCATAATATGCTATAGTAATATGTTTGAGAATGGGCCTCTTGCTCACTCACCAACCCAGAATAAGGTATGAGGAAACAAAATACTATAAATCAGTTTTCAGTGACTACCACTTCGGCTAATCTATCCACCTATGCTTTCTCTGTTTTGTAAATGGCTCCATAATAACTCCAAAGGCATATCATAAACTAATCATCATTTCTGAAGGTGTCTGTTGGCAGAGAAAATATCTGACATCTGAAGACATGAAGAATCTACTTCACGCTGAATTTAACCCCCACATGCTTTGGAACACTAATTCATTCACCTTGCTGTACACAGTAATGTCTCCAGAGGCTACTGAGTGATGGGTGTTAAAAGGAACAGTCCCTCCATGGGTCTCTGATGCTCCTACATCTTTTGCTGGGTATGCCAAGAAAGTGAGGCCCTGACCATTGTTAATGGGAGCCATATCTTAGGGCTGTGCTTGTAGGGAGTAACCTTGAAGGATGACATAATGATGCCCTTGAAGACACAGAGTTGCTACAAAAGAAGGGATTCTCCAGGCTCAATACTATCCAACTATGATGTGAACCCACTGTATAAGCAGCAGCCATCTGGATCATATAGTGTTACCCCTATGGGGCTAGGAGGACAAGGGGATCCAATGCAAACATGATAGCTACTGTGCCATAAGTAATAAAATAATTTATTATTTTATTTAATAATTTATTATCCTGTGCCAGAATTGATGTTATGATAACAGGTTAACTTCTAAGTTTGCAGGTAGGGGTAAATCAAATCACAGATCTGACAAAGGAGTATTTGCTCATTCACTGAATGACTTCAATATTTTGTTTCCAAAAGTGCTGTATTTTCCTACTCTAACAGTCATTTCTGCTAGGGTTGGGTGTTGGAGTGGAGCATTTTAGTTTGCTCATTTCCTCCTTCTCTCTTAGTAACAGAATTGCAACCAAATGTTAAGTAGAGCAAAGCTTTTTACCAAATCCAGAACACTGACCTGCTATTGTTACATAATAAACGTCTCTACTCTTCAGGCCCCTGAATTCTGCAAGTATTTTAGTTACAGAATTATTTTAGGTTTTCCTTCCACATACACTGGTCTATAGTAGCCACCTCACCTTGCTTTTCACTTTCTCTTCCTAAATTGTTGTAATCTTCATAACCAAATGAGACTATCATAATACATCTAAATAGATTTAATTTGAGAGACATCACAGAAAGTAAAGACTATATATAGCCCTTATGAGCTAAACTTTGCTTGCAAAACTCTTTTGGTGAGGGAATGGTACATCCTACATTTGTGTTATGCTCCAATGAGTTTAAATTTCAGCTGAAAAAATTTTTAGAGAAAACTTTATGTCATTTAACTCACAACCTCAAAATGTCAGCATGCTATGGAGCAAACTGAAAGAGCTGGCTTGACTGATCGTTCAACAGTAAGTCTGGTGACTAATGTTTAAAAGAGTTCACTTGATATTGTCAAATAGGTCTGATACACTGCTAGTGTGAGTATAAATCAGTATAAAATTTCTAAACAGAAATGTGACAATCTGCATCAAAAATTCAGAAAAATTAATTCCATGTCAGGCACGGTGGCTCACACCTATAATCCCAGCACTTTGGGAGGCTAAAAGGGGAGGAACACTTGAGGCCAGGAATTTGAGGCCACCCTGGGCAATGTAGAGAGATCTGGTCTCTACAAAATATTAATGAAAAATTAAATTAAACTGGCATGATGATGCATGCATATAGTCCTCATTAATTAGGAGGGTGAGGCAAGATGATCACTTGAGCCAAAGAGTTCAAGGGTACAGTGAGATATGATCATGGTACTGCACTCCACCCTGGATAACAGAATAAGACCCTATTAAAAGAAAAAAGTAACTTCAATGAGTCAGCCGTTCTAATTATCAAACTGCCCCCATGGAAACAATCAGAGATGTGCCCAAAACACTATATCTTTGTCTATTAGTCTTAGTGCTACTTCTATTAGCAAAGACAGAGTGACTGAATAATGTATAGTTGTTAAAAAATTATACTATCGAATCATATTAAAGGTTGCAGAAAAATTCCTCTAAGTTATGGGAAGGAATATACTGTATCTTTCTAATGTAAATGCACAAAAACTCATAGCCTAAGTATTTTAAAAGATATAAAAATATTAAGATGGTTAACTGTGGGTAAGGGGATTGTTAGTAGTTTTTATTTTCTAGCTATATATTTTGATATTATCACTTCATTTACTTGTATAGCGTCCAGATTTCAAAAACATAAGTAGTTTCGTGAGGATTGAAAATATATGAATCATGTAATCACACATACATCTGTAGAGTATGCTAGTTAAGGTACAACCTGTGTACCTTAAGTATATTAACACATTGTTTAAAAAATACAACTTAAAAAATACATCAAATTACTTGAAAGAAATATAATGAAAATAATACCATAATCATACCAAATAAAATGATAATAATCCTTTTGAATGAGCCAAATTATGTCTTTGATTTATATGAGGTTATCATCAACAGATATTATTGGATTACATAATTTAATAAAAGAAATCCCTAACTGCAAAAAAGTCAAATTAACTTAGTGAATGGTTTAAAGTCAAATTTTATTTAGAACTCAAATACACAATATAAAAAACAGTAAATGGTAAAGACAAAAAAGAGTGTGTGTGTGTGTCTGCGTGTGGGTGTATGTGTGTTCATTCATGCTTGGAATGTATTTTAAAATGCTTCTTGCAAAAAACAAATTGTCCATATACTGGAAAATTACTGACATAATAAGTTCCATAGGTGGCCAACAATTTTACATCAAAATATCAGATGTGTTCAGCTGGTTAGAAGTAAATGCGAGCATACTCTGAAATATGGAAATAAATGTAGCTCTAGGTTCCATGAGTGAAAGTGTAGCCAACTAACAGAAAAGGCACAGTTTTTAAATCACATAATTCAAATTGCCCCAATTATACTACAGACATCTCCCAATGTTGTGAGGAGCTTTTCTTTATTTTTTTTTGCTTAAAGCAGAGTGAAAAAAAAAGATATTGATCAAGATAACTATTTGATAGGGTACAGGTCAAAGTGAATTATGAAACAAATGATTTCCAATTTATAGAGCAATACTACCACCACTTCTTTTTTTATTTGACTTTTAAAATTTCAGCTTGATGTATAATTGACAAAAATTGAATATATTCAAGGTATAAAACATAACATTTTGATATATGTACACATAAACACAACATATTTTAACAACATGTATATTATATATTTCCACCAGTCAGAAGAGATGAT